CATATATATAGGATACATTTATATATATTTGTATGTATGTATGTATGTACGTACGTACGTACGTTTGTATATGTATGTATGTATGAATGAATTTATGTGTGTATGTATGTATGTATATATTTTCGTATGTGTGTAAACATGTATCTATGTATGTAGATTTATCGATCGGTAGGATCCAAAATTTACCTCTGGTAGTGTTTCGTAAGGTATAATACGTTTTGTGTGAGGTATGCCCGGCCTACAAGAAGTCAAGTACGGATTGTAAGAAGAGTTGAAAGCTCAAGGAGAATAAAGCAATTGTAATATCTCCGCAGTGGGAATTCAGCAAAGGGATCAGTAAGGATGGCAGAGCAGAAGTGAAGCAGATGCGAGCGAAAACGAAAGGCGTGACTGGGTATGTGTGGCAGCATTTAAAAATAAAAATAAAATTTAAATTTAATATACTAGTATCAAAGTACCAACGGGTTAGTGCATTGGAACTCCTATATACTTGGTTTGATACTGGGGAGGTTTTGAACACTAACATCCTGGAAGTTTTAGTAGTGGGAATCTGAACGCTAACGTGCACACTAATAACAAAGTACTTTTTGTATTAGTCCATTAGAACTCTGATGTACTTGACTTTATACTGGGGAGGATATGAACACTAACATCCTGGAAGTTTCAGTAGTGGGAATCTGTATTAGTCCATTAGAACACTGATGTACTTGGTTGATACTGCGGAGGATATGAACCCTAACATCCTGGATTATATACTAGTGAGAATCTGAACCCTAATATGCTTGATATGAAAGTATCGAAAATGCGAGGACCAACATACTTGGTATAGTAGGGATGCATACCAACAGCGCCATACATTGGAAAGTAAGTTGGTCGAGAAGTGATCAAGTCTCTGTTCGTCCACTTCATACTTCTGGAGGTCACTAAAGCACCTATTTATATAGCCCTATCTATCTCTCCATCCCGCTAACTTTGACACCCAATCTATCCCCCCAATCTATCTGTCATCAAACCCACTTTTCACGCTCCTCACCCAGATATGTGTCTCACACAGGTACGTGCCTAACGTCTTGGACCTTGCTACAGCCATGATGACTACGCAAATACAGGATGAGCAGATTTCTAACCGCACCTTCTTTGCCGCGAGTTTATACAACGATCCCTTCGGCCCAGGCTGGTTTTTTGGTGAGAATAACTGTGTGATGTAGACGGATATGTACATGTATGTATACGGAGTGTGCATTTTCCGATACATAGTGTGTGTGTTGTACCCTTAAGAGTCAGCGAACGTGCAGGGGTGAGCGGTTGAAATGGTGTTGTATACTTGCACCTGTACATTACACGCCAAAGAGAGAGGAGACAGCCATTTCTGGTACAAGATAGTCTCATCACAAGCTATTATCTATCTTTATAAACCTTTTCCTCTTTTGAATGGGCGTGTAGAAGGATTCAATAATAGCGTGTACACGCCTGGTAGTCCCAGGACTACACGCCTGCTGTATCCGCAACTTACATACCTATAAATACAAACATACATATATACTTACTTACATATATACATATATCTACATATATACATACAAATATGAATATTTAAATACATATTTATATATATTCATATTTG